TATATATATATATATATGTGTGTGTGTGTGTGTGTGTGTGTATCTGGAAAATGCCCAGAGTGTTGATTTCTCAACCACATAGTTCTTTCTCAACTATTTTGGCCGATTTGACATGGATGAAGGAAAAGTGGGAGAGCAAAATTTTCATGCAAACTCATTTTTGAGGGAGATTGAACCATAAAAATCAAAACAGTATACGAGAGCAAATGTGTAATTGTAAAAAAAATAGCACTTTGAAAAAGCATTGGTCGTGAAAACTATAAAAAAATGAAACCTCATGTCCTATTTTGATAAATCAACATGTATTTTTCTATTAAAACTTCCAAATAACTGTACACAAACATATAGGTAACAAACTTGTGTCATCGGCAGATTAAATATGTTATATCCATGATGTCACACACATGAGATGATTTATTGAGAAATCATTTAAATGTGCCCAATACTAATGATCAACGACTTAGTATTTATTGAAAAAAAATTGAAAGTTAATTTATTGTAATATGCTTTAGGAATTTTAAGGATCTTCTTTGCATGGAAAATAATGTCAGTAAGTGTGTAATAACATAAAATAATGCAAAAGAGATAAATTAATAGTGAAAATGTCATGAAATTTCGACACACATTTCAAGATATTGGTCCTATCTGAAAAAAAAACACATGGACTATAAGTATTGATGCTCCGTACAAACACTCATTGCCCCGATAAAAATATACAATGGACCCTTGTGGGATTCGTGATACACCTTGAAAATCTGAGATAAAAAAAAAACAGCTATCTCATCTTGATACTCCGTTCATCGCTGTCTCTATTGTACTCTAAAAAAAGTTACAACACCCAGTGCAGATGCGTCAAGGTTACGCGAATTCCAACACAAAACACGTAGGTATACAAGGAGCACATATCGAATCAATGACACTCGTCACAGCAATAGGGTCACAGTGCGCCGGGGTGTAGCCAATCACACGATACAAGTGCACATCGCGCGTAGAGGTATAAAAAATACCCCCAGACTATCCGGTTACAAGCTTCCGTATTGAATGTCTCGTTTGACACGTGCGAGCATACACGTATAGCAAAACTCCTCGGATGTATACATATTCTATAATGTGAGATGGCGCGTATGGATATCTAAACTCGGATTATGTGTCGCGATGCGTGACCCAGTTTGTACATGACGAGCCCACGCCACGAGAGAAGGGAGCTTTTACGAGCTTCGTAGGTGTGTACCGCAGCTGTCGCGCGGGTACAGGTCACAGCGCCGATAAACGTCCACAAGGTGAAAATTAAAAATGCCAACGGGTTCCGAGAACTGTGTGTATACAATGCTGCAAAGGCGCGAGTGTGTAGAAATAAGATTTCTCAAAGCAAAAGCTCTCCTTCACGCGTATTGTATGCGCATTGGAAGCTGTGTATTATGTTTGGGGGGGGGGGGGTAATAATTCGCGTGGCAGTGAAATGTCCTCTTGATTTATTTTCCACGGGATGTAAGTATGGGCTTAAACTTTTTATCGTAGGGCGTCGAGACGCGTCTTTGCGCGCGAATCAAGTTATATATAAAAAAGCTCGTTCGCTCGAGTTTCCATTAGTTTTTTATGGATGAGCACAAATGCGCTTGGGTCGTGAGGGATCGAGCTGCCTGTCAATCAGAGACGTGATCGAGGCTCGGTGGTAATTAAATAATCGGTGGTGAAAAAAAAAGCGGAAGTATACGCAATGACCGTCACAACGATCGAGTAGTACGTGACGGTGGAATGGAAGGAAAAGAAGGTCACGAGGAAACAATGTACACATATGAAATCCTGGGTACGCGTTGCATAACGATGTACAGTAGTGTTACAAGTTGCGGGGGAGGGGAGCCAGGGAGTTTGCGGATGAGCGAGCCGAAAGACCGACGGGCCGCTGACCTCATCCTCGAGAACTTGTCCCACTTCGCGGCTCCTTCGACTAGCCCCCCTCCCTCTCTGCTCGACCAGTGTACATGCGTACGATGAGAATCTCTCTTTTTACACGCGCTTGCTTTCAACGTGCTCTTATTCGCGAGCTATTTTTTTTTTTTTTTTTTAGGCCCCCGGGGCTGGGGGTAGCAGGGAACATTAACCTTTTTTTTTTTTTTTTTTTTTTTTTTGTTTTTTTTTTTTTTTTTTTTTGTTTTCGTTTTTTTTTTTTTTTGCCCATTGTGTGCGCGCGTGCGCGAGTTTTTCAAAAGATCGGTAAGATCGACCGATCGACATTTCGGGGGGAGGTGTGGAAGAATACGGGGAGAAATAAAGGATAGATCTGAAGAGTGAAATCGAGGGAAGTTGCGATCCAACAGCGAAAACAAAACAATAACAGAGAACAGCTGCGCCGGCGATTAATGCTGGGGCCGCGTGAGTCACGCGGTCATTGCGAGGGCCAGTCGGGATCCTTGACTCCTTGCTCAGAGGGGCGGTGATATATTCGGGCTTGGTGGCGTAAGGAAAAAAAAACAAACAAAGCGTCATGTCGTCGCAAGAGGGGAGTAGAGCCGGCACGCCGACCAATCCACGTGGTCAGCAATTGAAGGACCGGGTGAGTTTTTTCGAGCAGCTGTCGACGAGCAGGTGCTCGAGCAGCGAGGATCTCCTGGACGAGGCAGGGGAGGTCAAGAAGTCGTCTTCCAGGACGAGCGACTCGTCGTTCGAGGAGAGCTATCAGAAGCTCGTCGAGGAGGGAGAGCTCGACGGCACGAAGGTCGTCAAGTTCGAGAAGATCACTGTGAGGAGGAGCGTTAGGGAGGTCACGGCCTCGACGCTCAGGTGCGTGGGTGAGATCGCGATGAGGTGGTGCTTTTTTTTCCCCCCTTGGCGAGGTATGGTGGCTTTGGATCGGTCCTTGACTTTTGTAGGACAAAATTTAACTTGTCTGGAATTGTTCGGGAATAAATGGATTTCGTCGATGATTTCTTTTGTCCGCAGAGTATTTTAATCTGTCGGTTCTCAAACTAAAAGAATTAATTACATGCTTATTTTTCTTTGGAAAAGCAGAGTTGGGCCCGCAACGACAAAAATCGAAAAGTGCCGGTCTTTGGGCTTTCGATGAAGCCGTTGACAAATTAATTACGGGATGTATCATGCAAAAACACAAATAAACTTTCAATTTTATGACAAGTACAAAATATCCATTAGCATACGAGAACCTGTTGACAAGTGCTGTCAAGTGTATGTACATGGATTTTCTCAAAACTGACCAGTACATTCATATGAATCTAATAATGATACTAACATTCTTCCCGTGTGAAATGATCCTCAGGTTATCAGTAGATGAGTGTATATTCCAGCTGTATATGAAGTCATTCAAAAAAAATCGATCGACTTTGTTGGGCAAATTGGGAAAACGTTTTTAATTCAGTTTAGAGAAGACACCGATATTGAAATACTTCGTACGATGCATTGCTAGATTAGCTAAGTGAAAAACGTTTAGTCAAAGGTCAAGGTGTGCTGCATACCTGATGTTTAAAGAGGCGTTTTATCATTATTCCGGAAAATTTTCCTAACGCTTCGCGTTTACGGTACTACAACAAAAATATAAATGAGAAAAAGTTGGGACGTCTAATGATACTTTAATTCGTTTATTCCTTATCTTGCTTACTTCACCTGGCGAGACTCTATCCGTAAAAATAGATCACTGTGACGGCATTGAACATTTTATTGTAGCTTTGTCATTCGATTTCTTGTATATGTAGAGTTTTTTAGAACTTAAGTAACATAACACCTCTTAATACCATCAAATGTAACTGCATGTCGTAGCATTTGAAAGCCCATCTGCAAAGTACATTTATCATACGTAAGGTATCCTAATGTTTTGGGAAAAAATGATACATTTAAAAATGTTTACCTATTATAATTAAAAATTTGTCACAAAATTGTCGATGCAAACATAATCCATGACACAAGTTTTTACAGTAATTGTGTGAGTAACCTAGTTAAATGATTACACAGTCAATGGCTGTATGAATTTTCGAAATTATTCTATTTCTCCGTACAGTGAGCAAATCGGCTTACATAGAGTATACCGCGAGGGTTTGTTACACAAGGTTGTACTGTTGAAAATCAATTTTTATTGGATAAATTTTTGAATCGAAAAAAAAGTAGGTTAATCCGATTTTTATATTTTTGTAAGTAGTAAAGAAATATTTTTGTACGTGGTAAAAAAAAAAAGTATTGAAATCCTTATAAACCTTGTCAATAGAATACAAAGGATCTAATAAGCACTGAAAAGTGCGAAAAATCGATAAGATCGGCATTCGAGAGCAAAGATCGATCCCAGTGCGAATGAACAACCACCATTCCTCGCCAAGGGGGGGAGGGGGAAAGGAAACATAGTAGAAAAGAAAAAGAAAAAAAAATGCAACGCTTGCCTGATAAACAGCAGCAGCAACGGCACGTCCGTGCGAGTGTCGCACTACCAAGGCTACGGGAGCCCGAGCGAGGAGCAGGGGCTCGAGGACTCGGCCTACCAGAGCCACTACGGGGCGAGCAAGTCGAGCTCGGTCACCTCGATCGGCAAGCTACCCTCCGAGGAGAGCCTCGGCCGAAGATCGGCAAGCCCCATGGACGACAGGTCGCCGTCCGAGTGGTACACCGAGTACAGAACCCAGAGCTTCCACGGCAAAGCAGTAGCTTCGCCCGCCAGGTCGGAGTACAAGCGCAGCAAGAGCCAATTCGACGCTCACATCGCGGAGATCAAAGGTAGGAGATCGATCCTGGGTACATGGCGCTTTTTTCTAAGGAATCGAATTTTATATAATTGGGTTATTGGGTGGATGATTTTGGTCAATGGAGAGGGTGGGACTTTATCGCTTCTTGTACACACTTTTTCAACTTGCAATACAGAGGAAAGTTGATATTTTTATGTTTTATAAGAATTAAACGAGGGATATATTATTATGGTGTAGTGAAACGATTTTTAACGAAAATCAAGGGGTACAATGCAACAGTAATTGAGAAAAATATGTTTCTGGTACTACTACAGTATTTTTTGTGTAATTGTACTTTCGAAATTTAAAATAGTGTATACAAGCTGTTTAAATAGTGACTGTTTGCTTTTCCGTAGTGAAATATCAACATTTGGGTATAGTGCCACGGTCAGTTTCACTATTTCTTCGTTATACACTTATAACTTGTAGAAATAGTAAATTTTCACTTTCAAACTGTCAATAATTATTATTTCTGCTGGTGAAAGTTTCACTAATTTAATTAGTTTGTTAATTAATTGTTGGTAATATCCAAATTGATATTTATACGATTCTCAATTTCTAGATCACTAATGAAACTTTTTGATACCAACTTACAGTGGTTGGGCGCATATCAATACCACTTATTTTCACTATTTTGCTAGTGGAAATATGTTAATTAAACAAATAGTAAAATCATTGTTGTGTTTTCATGACACTGAATATCATAAGTGTACCAGAAATAACTTTTTCATCTTTATCTCATTGGATAGACAACATTTACAATAATTGACATTATTATTATCTTTAAAAAAAGTTCCACCATGTGAAATGTTAAAATTTTTGTCAATTCAAAATAAAATGTTTTCGCTACTTTATCTAATTGCACACTCGTAAGTTTAAAAAGTGATATTTTAACTTTATCAAATACAGAGAGTGGATTTTTTACCACCAAGTACGTAAGAATGTGGAGGTCATTGCTCGAGATACGAATACATACGTCACGTTTTTATTTTTCACTTACTCTTTATCGCCAATCAAAGAGATAGCGTGTTTCTAATGTTATTCCTGATCAGAAAAAATGATTATATGGATATTTGTTTTTCGCTACAACAATCAACATTGAACTTGACTGGCTACATCCTTTTACGATTAGAAAAACAATTGGTTTGCAATCAGCAAACATAAATTAAATACTTTTTGGGCTCACATCTTTTACGATTCGATTTTTAGGTTGAAAATTACGTTTTTCATAGAACAAAATAATTTCATTACATCTCATAGTTGTTGTGATCATTTTCTTACAATCTCAAATAAATACGTAAGAGACAAAATTAGGTGCTAGATTTTATCTGTTACGAGTCGATTGAGATATCGACTCCACTGTGCGACATAATTACAATTGTGGTAAATAAAAAGTATTACCCAACGAACGATTATGAAAAATATCGATCTTAAAATTGATTTATTACGTTATTTTTTTCTTGATAAACAATAGATTTATGCGCCACTTGATGTATATTATATGGACAGTATAGGAAAGAAGCCAAAGTATAGGTCTGCGTGTTTCACTGCGAGATAACATCGATTAAAAAAAAAAAAAAATTGTAATAAAAAAGTAGAAATCATCATTTAAAATATTAAAGTCTAATCGTTGAGCTGTTTTGTAGTATAATTTTATTAGTCGGTGAGCTTTTGAGTCACACGAAAGAAAAAAAAATATCAAACAATTTAGTTTCTATGCCACGACGTACGGAATCAATCCATAAATCTCCATGACCATTGTCGTAATAGTATAACGACATTCTAATATTTAGCAATGAAAGAAAAAAAAAAAAAATTACTGGACTATACAACATGTATAGATTTCAACAGTCAGGCTGTTTCTCTGCGACGTCGTCCCATGGCTATCAGCACAGTTCAAGGTTTATTTAGCTCCCAGCGTCTATTGACCGCAACGAATCTTTATTTACACTTCTCTTCTCGTGCGACCCTTGTCTTTCGCTCTTTTTATCAATCGTCTTTTTTTCTCCTCGCTCTTTTATTTGTCTTCTTTTTTTTTTCCCATCCGTGTGTTAATCTCTCGAGGGCGAGAATTTAATTTTAGACCGCAGCACTGCAATCATCGGTATATAGGGTGACTTTTGTTTGCATCCAGTAATTTACGTGCCACTGATTGAGTGAAAAAAATTCTTCGTCTCAATACCAATAAACAATAAATACAACCATGACGTTAACTGCGTGCCAACTGAAGTGAAAAATCATTAGACCGGCAATGTGCTGTGATTCAAAAATTATTAAATTAAAACGTAATCACCGCATGTATGTTATTTAATTAATCACTTTCGTCATTAAAAAAAAAATATATATATAAAAACAATTAGTTTAAGCGGAAGAATCATAAGCGTTGGGAAAATTTCCATCATTAGTAGTAGAATTAATGGAAGATTAATTTTCTTTAAAGTACGGTTGATAATTAAATAACTGATAAAAACAATTAAGTAATAAATTATTATTAAAATTCCTTGGAAGACTTTAAATTTTTTTGTAGAATTGATCACTCAGCTAAGTAGTTTAAACGATTTTAAAGCTTTTAAGAAGACATCCTGAATTTCCATTAAACTGTCAAATTTTTCAAATTTTATGGTTATTCGTAACAACATTTACAAGTTACTTATCGGTTTCATAGTTGAATAGTTAATAGTACTCTTGGAAGAAAAAAGTAAATAATATATCTTGGATCACATTTAGATCATTGATCGAATCAAAGATAATTTTTTACGAGTTTCTGTAGCGTGTGCACTATTTTTTTCTATATGAATACTTTAAATTATAATAAATACCATCGATATAATATATGTTGGTGCAAGTCAACTTGAATTATTTTTGTGGCTCTAATCGAAAAAACTTTTGCAAGAAAATGGCACAAATGATTTTCACTGAAGAGGTAACAGGGCTCGGCCCTTAAATCAAGAAAAAAAAATGGAAGATTAAAACTTTCGACCCTTTGTCCAACGACTGTTTCTGACTTAATGGACCAGCAGTATCAGTACACCGATGTATCCAATAATATAAAAAAAAAAAAAAAAAAACACAGCTACGTCTATGCAGAGAATACGTGTTGCGTTATATAATGCGATTCTTACCTGTTCTTTCTTATCGGACATTCGTGATGGAAAGGACCGTGTTGTTCTCGGTCGTTCGGTATACACAACAACATCCATCATAGCAATGCTATTTTTGAAATGTTTCGTTGAACCAACCCATTTCGCAATACATCAATCGAAGTAAAAAAAATCTCCCGATCACGTAGAGCTAAAATGTACATACATGACGTCCAATACCTGGAATCCTTGTTTAATACTATGAAAATCCTTGATCCTCATTTATTCACAATATATTCCACAAGTGCAATAGGCCGAAGTTAAGTGCAAATTCAGGTTTAATATATTTAATTACAAGAGTCGGCATGTGTATCGATCGATTAATCTTCGACCTTCGATGGGCATTAGTGGTCTGCATGAATTTCTATGGATGGACTTTTAATCATTTAATCATACGTTTGGTTTTTGCCATCTATACGCATTTCAATGAAATTCCTATCTTTTATCAACACTGATTTATCCTTATGAAAATTCAGGAGCTGATGTATACCTATATAATCAATGGAATTAGTAAACAAGTTGACGCGATGTGCTCTACAAAAAAAAAAAAANCAATTTTACAAGAGATTTCATATACTGTTTTACGTGAGAAACGTATTTTTCATTGCTTTTACGTAAATAAACTGGAAAATTTGGCAATCAGAGCAATTTCACTCTAAAAAATTTTTTATAAAAAGGCTGTGGTTGTGGAGTGCAAATTATTTTTGTCTTAAATTGAACGTACTAGCAAACGTCTTAACTGTGCAACAAAATGATTTACGTTCTTTAAACGTTTCTGGATTGATTTTTCCACTGAGTAATAAAACAGATAAAATAGTCGATAAAAAACGAGTTTGGTTATTTATAGAATCATCATTAATACTGTCATCATATATTTCGTAAACATATGAAAATTTTAAACAACAGACTTGGACGTACGCGTTTAACGCCCTCCGTACTCTTTTGCTGCAGGAATTTATTTTTGCCATGAACAAAATTTACCTGCAAAACGGTACAGCATTAAATCATCGAGTATATGTATATATGTACACAAAACTCCACTCCACCGGTCCGGCAAAACAATAAATTTTTTACGCACATAACTTAGTCGGTATAAGTGCAGCAGCGCTTTTGTACCAGGAGTTATCTCATCCCTCGTACAAAGGGACACAAATATACGTATATACACATCGGGGTAAGCCTTTATCTCTTAAGTACCCTCTCTATGTTACTAGCGCGTGTAAGTGTCGATCAGAGCTGCCAGAGTTGCTAAAAATACGAATTTACGCGTGTTTTTGAGTGAGACGCCTCGATGTGCATATAGGAAAAAGAAAGCTGTAGCCTATATCTCTTTTGCGATTACATATTCCGTCGTCTCGTTTACTCCGCGTCAGCTCGCACTTGCTAATCGTCTTGGTGCGCGCATGTAAGTATATATATACACGCAGGCAAGAGGCAAAACGTTAATTGACGCGCGTGTCATCGGAGTTGGTGTTTTCGCGGCTGGCTTAATTTGATAGTATATCGTTAACCGAAAGGAATTAATTTGGTGGGCTATTGGCGAGCGGCCCATTTCCAGCGACCAACGGGGCTGTAAGTAGTTGCCAAAGGTGGTTTCTACACGAGTATGAGGGATTCTTTCGGGTTTTTTTAAATTACGGTTACCACGTGGTTGCACGAATGTTGACAATTTTTTTTGTACGGAGATCGACCACAATGCACGGTTGTTTGAGTGAACGCTGGAATGATCTAACTGGGGACTAAATGAGAAAAATTCTGCGTGAAATATTGTTGAAATTACAATAAATCGTATATAAGTAATACTTAATATTTAAGCAGTGATAAGTAAAATTGCGATTGAGATTTTTTTTAA